GAAGTATACATGTTAGTAAACTGCTAGTATACTTAAATCATTGTATATGGTAAATAAAAGTACAGTCATATGAAAAAGTTTGGTCAGCCTTGTTAATTTTCCTGATTTACCTTTATAAATCATTGATTGTTTGGATAAAAAAAAATCAATTAAATATATCATATAGGGGACAAACACAGTGATATTTGAGAAGTGAAATGAAGCTTAGAGCAGTGCCCAAATTTATGCACCTGCCTAATTTTGTTTAACCAATTATTGTACACTGTCTGTAAATCATTTAAACTTCATCTCACTTCTCAAATATCACTGTGTTTGTCCCCTATATGATATATTTGACAGATTTTTTTTATCCAAACTATCAATGATTTATAAAGGTAAATCAGGAAAATTAACAAGGCTGCCCAAACCTTTGCACCCCTGTATAGTATGTGGAAATTTGGTTAGTAATTTGTTGGTAAATGCTGTGTAATTGATGTACTATTACCCTGTAAAAATAGTGAAATGATCACTAACTTAGTTTATTTACATGGCAATTTGCGATGTATTCACTTTATAATAACATGGTAATTAGGTGATTAAAATAAAGTTTTTGTTGGCAAATAGTGGGTGATTGAGAGCTATTGAACTATAATAGTAATTATCCACTAAAGTTTGTTTAATTACATAGCATTTTTTATGTGTTCTTACAAAGTAATTACAGTAAATACCAAGTAATTCCATAGTAAATAGTTGTTACTTATAAGTAAATGCTAAGTAAATGCAAGGTAATTAGGGGACTGTAAAATAAAGGCTCTGCTTTCTGCTGAAGTGGCTTAAAAAATAATTTAAGGGTTACCAAATTAACACTGTTAAGGTATATGTGGACTTTTCTTTACAGTTTAAAAAACAGCCACTGACAGCAGAGCGTTATACATTTGTTGAATAAAGCAAGCTTTTATTCATTGATTAGATGTCTTTTAAGTGATGAGCATGTGAGAGTGGAATCATAGGATTATTAGACATCTCTTGAAAACAAAGTGCTCAGCTCTCTCAGGACATCTCCCCTCCCCCCGCCTCCAGCAAGATGTCCTATTTTAAATGTGCTGCTGAAGATAGCACCATAACCTACCATTTTTACACTGCTGCCTTGTTAAATATAGTTTCTGTCAGGACAGAAGATCTCCAGCACAGTTTTACGGACTCTAAACTCACCTTAACCCCCGAGGAGAGGAGGGTGCCGGTGTGAACTTTGGGTGCAGGAGATCGAGTGCCTTGAGCCTGTTTGGCAGAGGGGCTTCCTGTGAAACAATTCAGACGATATGTTAGGAAAAAGAGGACTGTACGGGGGAGCGATTCTGTTATTGTTGTCAACTATCTCCAAAAAAACGAGGGCATCTGTGGTGCAGTTCGACTTTTTTTTTTCTGTGTGGGAGTCGAGGCCAGCGTTTTTACATACAAGCACTGCTAAAATTCTGCTTCTTTAAAAATGCCATCRCACGTCTGGTGAATCACCTACAACACCCACATCCACCGCATCAAATGTGACGATGCACAACCTGCTGCTGGATAGGGTTAAGCTGTGCACTTGCAGAGGAAAAAGGCTGAGCGGATGGAAACAGCGGTGCAGTGAGATTTAAGAGGATGCTTTTGAGGAAGAAATCAGAAGGACCTGCTTCACAAAGCGGCGATAGTGAGCACGCTCCTATTTATGGGATAAATCTTGTGCCAGCTGGAATTGAATTTGAATGTGCACAAATTGAAATTGAATGCTTTGGTTGGAAAATGAATTTCACTAAATTGAAACTGAATTTAAAGTTTTGAATTTGATTTAATTTGTTTTGAAACTGTATTTTGGTTTATTAAACATTCAGTTTAACTACTTTCACTTTTAGTTCCATAATTCAGATTTTTGTGTCACATCCTGGTCCTTGAGAAAGCCAGTCAGAGTAATCAAACACAGATCCACAGATTTATGCTTCACTTTGGTGAAGCTTCCTGTCTGTAATGTAACAGAGTTGATGTAATCCACTGTAAAAGTGACAAAAATAGAGTTATTTTATTGCAGTGATTAATTTTACCTATATGTAGAAAATGGTACATTTACATCTCATCATGGATCATTCAGCAGCAGCATCTGATCAATATGTGATCCATGATGTGATGTAAATCTAACATTTTCTATAGGTAAAATTAATCACTGCAATAAAATAACTGTCTGCTTTTGTCACTTTTACGGTGGATTGCATCAACTCTGTTACATTACAGACAGGAAGCTTCACCGAAGTCAAATGTTAATCTGTGGATCTGTGTTTGATTACTCTGGCTGACTTTCTCAAGGACCAGGATGTGACACAAAAATCTGAATTTTGGAACTGAAAGTGAAAGCAGTCAAAATGAATTTTTAAAAACCAAAATACAGTTTCAAAGCAAATTAATTCAATTTCAAATCATTAAATTCAGTTTCAATTGAGTAAAATTCATTTTCAAACCAATGCATTCAATTTCAAATTATGCACATACAGATTTAATCTGAGCAATTCAAATTCAATTCCTGCTGGTACAAGATTTATCCCATACCTATTTCACTTTTTCACCTGCTGTTATCTCTCTCGAACCAAACACAAACTGTATTTATACACATCAAAAATAATAATAATAAAAATAAATAAATAAATAAATAAAATCTATGTGAAGTCGAGGTTTCACCCAATATAATCTGACCATGAAAGACATCAGCTCAGTCACCATGGTAACCACTTATCCAGCAACTGTGCTGATGAATCACCGTACAGCTGCTTTAGGAGTGCAAAAATGAATCCCAAAAAGGGAAAATGAAAGAAGTAAAAAGACTGGATCAAACGCAAAGCTTCAACAAAACGAGTTTTAAAAATGTATAAAGAACCAAAACTGAGTCAAAAAACACATTTTTGCTTTGAGGGACTTTGGACTGGGAAACAGATACCTGTGGAGGAGGCAGAGGGTGAAGCCATGCTGATCACCTGGCTTGGTTTATCAACGATAATGTAAGGGTTGTTCAGCACAGAGGAGCTCTGCTTGCTGTGGGCGGGGGTGGAGGTGGTGGGGGTCCGGGGCAGCGGTGAGTGGCTTGGAGTGGAGATGGGAGACCCTGTGGGTGTTACAGAACACAGGTGGGTGAATATTATCTCCCAGCTTTATTTTTAATTTAGTTATTTTAAAAAATTATTCATTTAATTTAAAAACAAGTGCTAAACATACAACAAATAATAATACAAAACACAAATCAAATGGAAGCTAGCAGAAAGAAGAAAAAATTCTTAATATCTTCCTTTTTTAAATAAATAAATAAATAAATAAATAAATAAATAAATAAATTCAAAAACCAATAATCTTCAAATAACAAAACATAAAAACTTAAACTCCTCGAACAACAGTTCTTATGAATGCACAGTATACAAATTCATATTTCTTCAAAAATCTAACTTTTATCATTCTCTTAAATAAATTTATTGAGCCAGCATTTTTATATTCACCTTCCAGATTTTTCCACAATCTTATTCCTTGGACTGAAGTACATCGATCCTTCAAATTTGTTTGAATTTTGGGCTTTACAAAACATCTCTATACCCTTAAGGTTATAATTACTTACTCTCTTGACAAAATTTAATTGAATATTTAGAGGTAACACAACATAACCTGCAAAATATTATGATCAACAAACTTATAAAATTTCAATAATTTCAAATGACAAAATAATATTTTTGATGGGTGACTGTAATGTTTTCTGGTGAAAATTCTTACGGCTCCTTTCTGTAAAATAAAGATGGGATTTAGGATCAGCTGAGGACAGGGACATGGATTCTATAAACACTGACACACTTTATCAGGAGCAACAAACAACTGAAGGAGTGAGGACAACTTACCTGAGACGATTTTACAGCTCATGGTGATTGGTTGGAACAATTTCCCAGGCGACTCGGACGGACTGGGCGGCTGTCCTTGAGGAACTATCTTACAGCTTGCTGTGATTGGCTGAAAGGCAGAGTGGCTGTGGGAACCCAGAGTGACTCGGTCACCAGCTTTGGGTCGAGTTGGAGTCCGTTCACCAGCAGCGAGGACCGAACTGGGACCACCTGCAGATCTGGCGGTCTCAGTTTTGATTAAACCTGGAGACCAAACTTAAGTTACAGTAAAGCACTGTTCAGCTGTCTCTGATGTTGGCACAAAGCTACATGTGTAAATAACTCACGAGAATGTTCCAAAGATAAATATGAAAAAAAAAACTAAAGATTTGTTTAAAGTTATCATAAAACTGGATTTTTTTGTTTGTTTGTTTCCAGCTTTATAATAAACATTTTTGAATCAGTTAAAGTTAGAGAAAGACTTCACTTCCTGATTAGCATTTCATTATTTATTCTCCTGTTTTTAATCATCAACCTATAACAGGTGGAGTGAGTTTTGGTCACGCGAGTGTGTGACCTGCTGTAGCAGCTGTGAGGCTAACCAGAACAGGCAGGATTTACAATTAACTGCACATGATGGCTAAACAGATAACAATAAGGACTCATAATGTAAAAACTGTAAACACTATTAATGATAATATAAATAAAAATATTATTAATTTATTAGTGTATATAAGCTATCCAATGTATATAAAAACATCAGAAAGCTGTTTGTTATGAATGTACCAATAGAAGAGAAACAGGACGTCTCATTTCACATGCTCTTATTTAGCTCAATGTGGCTGTGATCTGACCAGAACTGACGCTAATGATGTACCAGGTTAAAATAAAAAAATCTTATAAAACTGATATAATCACTGATAATTACTGAATCGTTTAGCAGAAATTAGCTTCTGTAGCATATATAGCTATACAGAGTGTAGCATCTTGTCAAGTCGTGCTACATTTTAACACACAACCAGTTGTTTTGTATGATTGTTGAATGAAATTACCATAATTAACAATTTTATATATATTTTTATGTAAAAACATTACTAAAAATTTGTGACACAGATCCAGCTGGGTTTGTTTTTAATCAGATAGTTTGTCAGCTGTGAGCCGACGCCCTGTGTGGGCGCCATTTTTACTCCTCCACGCTGTCACAGATGCTAACAGTGGACGCTACAGGTGGGGCTCACTCTACTGTTATTTAACTATATGATGTGTGCTTGTTCTTAAAAACAGGCAAATCCATATACTTATCCCCATTTTTGAAGTGTCACAGATTCTGTTCACAGTACCTTTGTCAACACTGGAGTCAAGAGAGACGGGGGAACTCGAGTGTCCATAAGTTTGGCCCAGGGAGGAGGTCGACATGGGGCTGGCTGCCCTTTGACTCGCCTTGGAGAAAGATGGCTTAGGAATGTAGTCCACCCCAAGAGAATCTCTATGAAGTTCCACATCAACCACCTAAATCATGTATTCAAAAAATATAACACTGTAAGAGCAAAGTCTCTTTAAAAAATGTAAACAGGAAGCAGACAAAACATTTGTAACTTACAGTTTCTGCCCCAAGTGTCTGCAGCCCCGTGTATGTTCTGTCCAGCTGCAGGGAAACAGGAGAGGTTGGGACAATAAAATAACTAGTTATATCCACTATTAATTTAGTTATTTAGTGCTTTTTAATATTCAAAATCAATGTAACTACTAGGAAGTGCTAAATTTGGCTCAAGTCATTGCAGTTTTGGCATCAAATGAAGGTTTCTGTTTTAGTACAACAAACAGGAGAAACGTCTTTTGAAACTATTATAATTAACTGTAATGAGCATATTTACTAATGGCTGAAGTCCTAATAAACACAAAGTAAATTAACTCATCGATTTAACTGGAGGAGTGTCTCTGAATGACATGGAAAAAATGCTGCCAAACGCTGACGTCATGTAGGACGAGACCTGACCTTCAACTGATGGATGATGTCGATGCGTTTGTTGCGCGAGTCTTTGAAGTGGATCTGGATCCTCACAGGAAACTCCCCCCAGCCACGGCGCGTTAAATGAAAGGGATGCTCGCTGAGGAAACACACAGTCCCAAAGCCTAATTTAACATCGTTGGAAGGCAAACCCATGAACGGTGACTCACGCAAACTTTTCCCAACTTCTTGATCTCTTTAAATCAATTATTTAGAAATCCCCCCACCTTTTTTTTCTTTTGAAGTTGGAAAATTTCATGCAAACTCACAGGACCGGTTCTGAACGCCTGCATCTGTAAGTGGATGTCAGTCTGTCTGGATAGTGAGTGTTCATTCAAACAAACCCCATCTTAGTTTTAGCTTTTGCTTTATACATCCTCTCTTTTTGAGAGTCTGCATGGAGCATGGGCCCTATATAGAGTTCACTGAACATGAGGACTTGAGGCGGTTGGGAGCAGCTTATGAGCTGCTGCAACAGCAATGCGAGCGCTTTGTCAGCTCAAACAGCCAGGAGGCTACAGCTTAGCAGGACTGCTGACTTCTTCTACTCTAAAAGAATAATATCAATTTAAATCTGTCTTTCAAAGCTACAATACAAGGGATTTTAAAAATAACACTTATGTCATGTCTGTCCAACTGTGGGTAAATGGATGTCACTAAATAAGTGAGGATAATTTACATAATAAATATTTGGATTTTTAGCTTTAAACACACTGTCCTAACCACAGGCAGTATTTAACTCAATTAAAAATTGCATCATGAATCCCAAACTGCTTTTTACAAGAATAATTGTGGGATGGTTGCACTGGATCATGAAAAATGCACAAGAGGGAGCTGTTTATTAAGAGATTTTCTGCAGCTTCTGCCCGCCGCTGAGTCACCAAACGGTTATAGCTATTTGAGATTTATCTGAAAGTCCTAAATCACATGGCGGCAAATGATGAAGACTGCCTCTTACACAAGTGCGACCCAAATTGTTTTTCGTGCTCCCTTCGGTTTGACAAGTGGGGTGTGAAAGAAGGTGGGGCAAAAGCACTGACTCAGAACAACGTTATAACGTTAGAATCAAATATTGTATCTATGGGCAACAACATGGTACAGGGACAAAAAAAAAAACTGGGTGGAACAAGTTTCTCCCAGCCTCAAGGACTTCTAACTTTGCTTCAGGTGAAACCACCACAGGCTGACAGCTATAAAACGAGGAGCACCGACTAGCTTTAATAACACACCTTAGAATAGATGTGATTTAAAAACGGTGTTTGGCTTTAAATATGTAGGAAATAACTCGGGGAACAAACCTGACTTCCACTAGATCGTTGGGCTTGTAGCTGGGATGCAAGAAGAACCAGACTTTCTTCACAAAGTGGTCGATGCTCGGTTCTTTTCTGGAGCCTCTGACGTAAACCATCCACTTGTGTGTCGACTGATCATTTTCCTCACGCTTGTCTGGAGGGATGTACCTAAGAGCCAGACACAGCCAGCAGTCAGGGATGATTTAGCCCCAGTGGATCAAGTGGATCAGTCAATGTGAATTATGTTAAAGGGGCAATATCATGTAAAATCAACTTTTTTGAGTTTTATATCATGTTATAATGTTATACTC